AAGCTGTCAGATTTCTCTATGAACATACTGATCCAGTCCTGCTGGAGGTGTAAAGGTTAATGTGTAGCGTATTGATTACTGAGAATATAGGTTTTTTCTTAACTCTTCAGCAGCCCTGATCAGAAACACCATAGGATTGGCCTGGGCACCTGTGGTCTGATCCAGGATCAGCTGAAGCGTCATTGTTCTTTCTGCTGTCAGACACCTTTTTTCAAACGTATATATATGTTTTTTTTCCACCCGCCCTATAGGGGGTGTGGCCACAGAGATGGCAGGTAAGTTTGAAACCTAAAACATGAACCAGCAGTGAGCCTTTGAAATCCACACTATACAATCCCTGCACATTTACCAAAGAAACTTCCAGAAGCCTGTCATTTTCTGTCAAGGGAGCTCAGCAGCCATGTTCAAAGTGTTAAATGTTCGTCGCAACAGTTAAACAATTATTGATATCAAAACCAATGAAAATTTATTAACTTAAAGTAAGTAATCAAAAAATAATCCGAATCGTTAAGAATCGTCATAATAAACTGATTTGTTAAAATTTTGGTGTATTTGATTTTAATGCGTGTTGCACTTCTGCTTATTCTGCATGCAGTGTGTTATAAATAAAGCATTTGAAATATTACCCAGGTTTTGCTGGTACTACCTACAAACCTCTCCCATCATCGGGGGAAAAAATGTTTGCGGTATCGAATCGGCGCAGTGGAGCAGATTACGGCTCGTTAAATGTATAACTTAACGCAACGCAATATATAACGGCTTAAGAATGCCCCCCCCCGCCCCCAGTTATCATTGTTATTACTATTATACAGGGGGATGATGGGGTTTTTCATTTTCAGAAGGAGCTGGATTCTCAGTGGTTGCATAAAACAGGAGGGGGGGGGCTGCAATCTGTCTGCAGACCGGGGGATGTGGCTGTGGATGATGGACGGTCTGCCAAGGTGGAAAAGCCTTCATACGAACTCTGTCTCTGTGGCAAAGCAACTGCTCTGCATGTATCGGGGAGCCCGCAGATGATACGGATCTACTGTGTTTTTTTTTTGTTTTTTTTTTCCCTCGGGTGCTCTGCTCTGGTGATGTCCTGACCTGGTATTGATCAGAGCCGCCCCCCCCGCGTTAGGGGGGGGGGGGGGGAGATGAGGGGGAGCCACTGGACCGGTGGGTAATGATGGAGGTGTATTAAGAGTGTGGACGATGCAGAGCCTAGACACCCCCGGGAGGAAGGGTGCGTGTCCTTATCGCACAAAGCCAGGGTGCGCCTCTAGGAGACGGCAAGAGGAACGGGACCGAAAGCAGGCAGATAAACGTGCGCCACGTCCCTGTGGCCGTGGACGGATTTTCTAATTGAAAACGTTATGGCTGTAGTCCAGAGGCAGTATTAAATGTGCAGGTCTCAGACCACCTGTTTGAAGCGGATTACAGAATTGCAACAGGCAGGGATCACGGTCTGGGCAGGTGGGAGACGCCCGAAGGCCGAACAGAACACACTGCGATCGCCACTGCACCTGTGTACACACCCCTTAGCTGAGAAAGGCTGAAAGCAGGCACAGGTCATGCTGTCGTTTTGAATGGCCCTTTTACTGTGGGGGCTTCACATGTTTTTTCATGGGAGGGACACAGGGGGCAACAGTAAAATTGGGGGGGAGGGGGGTGAAGGATGTTACCGCCTTCATTATGCAGCTAAACACTACAGTACCCAATATTATGTGATTAATGGATATTCTTGCGATTCTGGGTGTATATTTGTGTGTCTTTGTGTATGTATGTGTGTGCATTTAGTGGACATTACACACAACCAATGAAAATGAGGGGACACCGAGGGGACCAATCCAATTTCAGGGGGGCCGCCCTCCATTGACTCCACCACACACACATACACACGTCTTTAATCAATCCTGTGCTAAAAAGCCAATGGTACTATTCAGACTCAGTGTGATTTGTGAGTAGCAATTACACACTGTCGGAATTAACCGACTGAACACGATCGCCAGAGATGGACACTTTGCAATATCATTCAGCACCAGATGTACCAGACAAGACAGTGGGGCAGATTATTTTAAGTGTTGCCATCAGATTAAGTTTCCAAAGACGAGGAATCACAAGTAACTCCCAGATTAGTCACCAAAGGGAAAGAACGGCATACGGGGGGGGCACGAACTCTGCCTAGTTAGCGTGCCTTCGACAGCGAGCCCCCATCGGGCTATTCTCACCTCTAATTAATGGTGTCACAGGAGGCTGCTTCAGCTATGGGAGCCTGAGAGCCTGAAAGGGAAGGTGCCTAATTTCCCAAACTTCAGAACCCCCTTGTCTGCAAATAGAGCAGAAATCTTAATTACGAGACCCGGGGCATGAGAGAGAGAGCAGAGAACACGCTGTCGCTGTACCCAGTTAAACCAACCAGTCTTATATGTCTGGCAGTTTATATGGAAAAACCCAGGAAGCATAAAAAATAGAAAATGTATGTTTTTTTTTTCAGCTCTGACAAATTTTTAATGCAGTTCCATCTAGTTCTTTTAATTATAAAGGGTAGCTAATCTAGGGAATTCAAGCCACATCCAACTTTTGTTTCTCGTTTCTTTAATTGCCGCAGCGTTTTCGTCCCGGTCCAGATCCTCCTGCTCTTCAGCTCATAAACTCTGGCTTGAATTCCCCGGATGGGATGTTCCATACTGTTTATTACGTCTGTCGTTTCCTGCTGGAGCACTTGTACTATAGAATAGTTGTACTTTATCGATCCCCTTGGGGAACAGGAGTCATTGTCACACATCCCATCTTGCTCTCCATGAGAGAAACAGACTCACATGTATATTTAGGTTCTGGGGTCAGACGATGGGGTGACCAGCGTCCAGCACCCCCCTGGAGCAGTTGTGCTTAAGGGCCTTGCTAAAGGGCCCGATGGTAATATGATAACCCTGGCAGCCCCAGGATTTGAGTCCAGATCTTTCCATACAGGAGCTGAGCTGTACGCTGTTCTAGTGAGGTCTGCCTAGCTATAGGCAAGTGCTTAGGGCTACGGAATTTCCTGCATTGTGGAGGAAATTAAATGATTATCAGTTTTCTTGGTCGAGGGGCCTCCCAGCTAAAGCTTTACCTAGAACCCTGAAAAGGTAGTTTCAGCTATGGGTCCACTAACCATGATTGCATACAAAATATGAGTCATTTGTCGCTAGACTACTTAAACGTGCCTTGCAGAACAGAGTGGAACAACTAGCATTTCTGAGATGGACCCAGTGCCTAAACCCTCAGCAGCCCCACGCTGGAGGGTGGTGGACGGTACGTTCCCTGGCAATCTGGGTGCTCGGCTAGTCTGGGGAAAAGGCCATTCTTTGTGTGTCGTCTTTGACCCGTTTCCCAAAATCTGATTCGTCACACAAGTGGGACTTTTTTCTCCCTAAAAAGATATTATACAGACAGTTACCCACAAGGAGAGTGAGATTATATACTCTATGTTAGCGGTTGTATAATAACAGCCAAGAACCGAAAACTGTTACGACATTGTAGGCAAGACGCTCACAATAGTCATTTCCCATCAAGCATGAGTAGACAGCCCTACAGGTCAGTGGGTTTGATTTGTGGCAGAGTATTTTTGTTTCATCCAGATCGACAGGGACCTCGTTTATTGCACAGGTACTATGGTAAACCTGTCAGAACGAGGAGGTCAGGTAATTACATGCACCGGTTACCAAACCTTGGTCTTCGTTACTTTCTGGACATTCGACTCTCCCCAAACATACATGAACATGCATGAACATTCTCTCTTCACATTGTGAAAGGGGTATGTGTGCTGTACAGTTTTACACAGCGGATGCCAAAACACACAACTCCCCATGTGATTTTAATTGCAGAAGCAGTTCTCACTGTAATTGAGGATGGGTTATTATAGACTCACTGAGAGATGATTTATTCATTTATCTGACACTTTTATCCAAAGCAACTTACACTAGAGCAAAGGGATACCAATTTATGTGCACTCTCAGGAATTTCAGCCCATAACCTTTGCACTGCTAGTGCAATACGCTACTTCTTGAGCTACAGGACGATCAAGGCTAATTGCTCTCTGGGCTTGTGAGGAGAGTCTTCTGTAAACATTAAGCTGGGCGTCTACTTCAAACAAAATCAACGGAATTTTACGATATAGTGTGAGCGGTGATCACTATTTTGGCCCAGCGCCTGTATCGGGTCCCCGAGGCAAGCTTACTTTTGTTTGTTCTGATCCTGCCAACTGTCCATGATTGGCTGGCATAAATGTGACACCGGAGGGCTGGTTAGCAGGACTAATTATGCCGTTCCCAGCATGCTTTGAACCACACGTTATATAGTGCAAATTAATATGTGTATTTATGTTAACCGTGAATGTTGTAACCATGTAATCAGGGCCGTTGGTAAGCCTATTTTAGGGAGGTTTTAGGTAAAATTTTAGGTAAACTGTTTTCAACCCCTCCCCCCCCCAAATAAATACGTATTTCCTGGCTTAATTCACGAATAGCTTTTCATATAAGTTTGCCATCGTCTGCTGCATCAAAAACATTCTGCGGCAGAACAAAAAGGTGTCATTTTAAGTATTCAATAGATTGCTCTTGCCGACGTGTTTGTTTTCGTTTAGTCCAGATGTCATTTGAGGCGTATGGTCACCGTTAATACGATGGGTAGGCAGAACGGACTCTGGGGTATAAGCTGCTCATTGGGGGGAAAAATGACGGCTAAGAACTCATTTTATTTTATTTTAATTAATTAATGAATTAATTAATTTGTTTGTTTGCTTGCTCGATTTGTTTATTTATTTGCAGGGATTAGAAATTATTGTTGTTATTGAATAACAACTTAAACCTGCCACTGAAATCCATGAATAAATGGGATATTTGCAGATTAAGACCTTCTTGTAAGGACTTTCTATTTCATATGCTGATTTCAAAACGCAAAGAAAATTAATTTCTGAAATACTATAAGTATTTCAATATCGACATGAGAGTATTAGACTGAAAAAAGGTAGTAAACAGGTGTTAAAGGCAAAACAAGATTTAATATTTAAGCCTGTTAGTCATCGTGTGTTTAAAAAGCCCAAATAAATTATTACAAAAAAACTGAATTAATTTAACAAACAAATATGATGCGATTTATTCAATAGCAGAATTTCGGTAATTTGCAGTTTCACATATTAATCGATTCCTCAAAAGAGGAAATAAACAGTAGTGGTAATGCAGAGCATGAAGGGGGAAAGAAAATAAAAAAAATATCGGGGACGAGTCCAACATCATCGCTCGATAAAAAATTAAAGCTACACGCTTTTTAATGTAGTGAATTAACATCCAAAAAAAAAATGAGTGTTAGGAGGAAATCGGGCGCTAGGCATTTTACAAAACTCTCTGACTCTTTAAATATACATACCAAACATTCTTCTTATGCCTATCGTCTCTTTAAGAAAAAAAGGATTATGCAACAAATATAGATTTATATTCTCTTCCCTGACAGTTGTGAAAGCTCTGGGTGGCTGGCCAAGACGTTGTTTTACGGGATCAGTGTTATTTTTTAAGGACCCTTTCGCTCCCTCCTTCGTCCACCCAGAGCTTCACCGTCTACTGGGGCATTCCCGCCGTTGGTGGTGATATCTTCACTTCCCTTTGCCGCTCCGCTGCTCGCAGGCAACCTTGGAGCCGCAGCGCCCGCTCAGGTCGGCCACGTAGTCGTTCTGGAAGCGGGAGTTGGGCGTCCTCTGCCTCTTCCTGTGCTCGCCCTGGATCATGGGCGTGTGGAAGGCGTCCTGGAACCGCATGCTGGAGGCCGTGGACTGAGGAAGGAAGAAAGACCGCCCCGGTTTGCCATGACGGAACAACCCGGCAAGACATATCTCAAGAAGTCATCAGAAACATTTTTTAGCTACTCTGTCAGCATGGGATCTAACTGCCCCATCTTTTGATTCGTTGAGAATGACTCTTAAAGCATATGCATTAGCTATATGTAATTAAAGGAAAAAGGATAAAAATCTTGCCTAAGTGCGTTTCAAAACATTTCCGTAATGACCTCACTTAGAAAGAAAAGCAGAATATTTGCACAACTTTAATCTTTCTTCACAGTGTTATAGACTGACTTAAACAAAAGACTGAGGTGACTGTTACAGCTTCACATATTAACACATTCAAATGGACAATCCCACACGCCATCAAATCAGTTTATTTTTGGTCAATTTTACCATCTAATTCCGACACACAACATACTGTAATTCTCCCTTCATTTTTAATGCCCTTTCTCAGTTAATGCTTTCTGTTTGACAGAAATTGGACAGGCCAAGATTATTTACGTCATGGTCTCAGTGTCTCTGTTTCCCTTAATTACCACAGCAGTTAGCATTACATAAATGGCTCAGGTCTCCGCTGACTTTTAAAATTAGCTGGCACCTTATTTGTTTACTTGAAATTTAATGGGGGACAAACTTCAACTCACACATGCACAAGACCTGAATGCAGTTATAATCTCACGAGATACTGAGCAGTCGGGGTAGAAATGTGACTTTGGAAAAAGTGTAAAATGGTGGAAAACATAAAAGAGTAATTAGGGGAATAAAAGTGGCTTTGGCGTTCAAACGCTCGCATTTGCATGTGAATGAGCAAAAAGCAGCCCTATAAGGCAAGGCCCTCATCCTGCAGGACCACAGGGGGTTAAGGTCAGGATGGCGCATTAAACCACCCTTAAATTTCCCCTTAAAGCAGACCTGGCTTTTACCGCAGCGTGAAATCTGTGATTGCACACTGAGGCTTACACTGTAAACTGCACCACTGCCTGCTTACACTGCCAGGTCTTGATTAAAGGAATTCACGAGACTTGTTAATTTTCATATGTATTGAATGTCGTGCCATGTGAGATTCTGACTGTGTTCTGTAGATGGTTCAATGAGGAAATAATTGCGGGGAAGTATGTGCTTTTTACGTTCGAGACAAAAGGACAGGCAATGAGGGGGGGGGGGCCGGGGCACATGCGGCTGTGTTTAAGGACGGGGACAGAGGCGCTTACTTACAGCGTGTAGCAGATACTTACGAGGCGCCCTTTCACCTTCTTCGGCAGATCTTCGTCGAGGGTGTACACATCTTCGCGTTTGGCGAGGACTTGGGATCCATCTTCGAATTCCACCTACAGTGATCAAAAACGATCCTTCTCAACCAAGACGACAAGGCACGATGACGTCAACCAGAGATCAGATACACAATGTGCAAATCCCAGAAGACCGATTTGTTCGAATCTAATAAAGCCTCCAGCTACAGCTATAGGCTCTACTATATTGAGAACTACAGTATATAGGCTAAGGGATGGGTTTGGTCTATCCCCTCAAAACCACCCAAGCACAAAGACATCACCTTGAACACTGACATCAACCTTGCTGAGGACCATCACAAGCCATATTATCTTAGTCTTTAACGTAAACAAGTCCCCATCAACAATCGCACCACTAATGTACCAGCTTAGCTGTTCGGACCATCACAGAAAAGCTGGTCCTGAGACCTTGGAGAACTAGTGTTTACTGGATGTGTTTCCTGTACCATGTGACCATGAGAGCCACCAAGGTGCCCTTATCAGGGGGCTTCCACACTCCAAGAAGCTTCAGTGATGTAAACTGGGCACCATAAATTAGCTGTGAGTTATTACTATTCATTAGTCGTCATAATCACTTCAGTACTTACTTTATTTCCCACAGAGGGGCTTAAAACTTTTGCCATTTATACCGCTAGATATTTTTAATGGAGCAATTCGGATGAAGTACCAGGATTAAAGGTACTGCAGTATGGCCCAGCCAGACCCGTTTTGGGTCCAAGTTGTCTGCCACCGAGTGACCCGGCACCCCAGCTCCGCTCTCAACAGCCAAGGTTGTCCAAAAAACTGCCTGTGTGGGTCCTGAAGTGGACGAGCGTTTTTGTCCAATTAGCAGAACCGAGCCCTTAATTAAAATCAGAAAAAGCTGCGAGGCTGCAGCTACGCGCCCCGCATGACTCAGACCGCTCGCAGTGGTCTGCAAGCAGTCTGCATTTTTACCGGTTCCATCACATTCAGGCCCGGCTCCGTACTTTTCTCACATATTCCATCATCCCTTAACTACTGGAACTGATGCCTATTCATACTCATTTATGCACATATTAAATGGACAGAAGTCAGTCACGAGCACATCCTAGCCAATCACCCGGCAGGGCGATAACGGTTTGCGGTTCCGCAACGCGAAGGATCTACGGAGGCAGCCGACACTCGGCACTCAGCGCCCGAGCGTGGGCCTGGATCCAGGAACTCGCCCAAACAGGTCACCCCGCCAGCAGCCGCTCTTTAAAGAGCTCCCTTTTATCCCCTCCTGCGTTTCTCTCTCAGCTGGTGCTTTGAATAATTTACCGTTTTCTGGTTAACGGGGGCTGTCTTACGCAAGATGCCTTTTTGAGGATATGCAGTTCTGTTGCTGGGTAAGAGGGGCTGCAGGACGCCATGGGGTTCCTTACACGTAATGACATTTCTCACACAGGAATCTACAAACAAAATGCACGATACGGAAATAGAAATAACATGCTGACTGCAGGAAGTGCCTTAAACACCTCTGAGTTCAACACCTGAGATTTGACTGGCACTAGAGGATGTCCCCCCCCCCCCCCCCCCCCTCCCCCCCCCCCCCCCCCCCACAAGAAAAATGATGGTTACTACATTCATCAAGGACAGGAGAGCCTGCAGAGCCTCTTAGTAACCGGGTTGGTTTTTCTGTTGATGTCACATCCGTAACACTGATAAAATGCTTTGTATATCTAAAATGCAAATAAATATATATGAATTCTGAGGATGTTTACATTCAACCCAAGAGGTTACACGAGAATGTAAACTGACTCCTTGATAATAAGCCGTTCCCCACTCTCAGGCACTTTGCTTGTCAATATAAGACTAAATGTCAAGCCCGTAACGCTAGAATTGCCCACGTCTTTTTAAAGATGCCACGTGACGCACACGTGGGTGCCGTCGCTCCCGGCTGCTAACGGTAACCGTAACCCGGACGACCCTGCATCCGCCCCTGCCCGTCACGCTGAGCCGCATGCGCGGGGTGCTCACTTCCCCAAGGTCGACGTCCGCCGCGGTTAAGACACGACGGCGCTCGGCTCACGTTTAGAGCGGGTAACTCAGCGCGACATGTTTCACAGGTTCTGTTTAGGCAATAGATCAATTATCCAGCAGCTACAGCAAAATTCACATCTTTAATAGCTGAAGCAATCCATTATCAGAGGGGGAGGATCCTTCACTCTCAGTCTCCGTCTACATCAGACACTGATCTTAATTAACATTCAGCGCTAGCACAGCAGACACGTTCAGTACAGGCAGTGACTATTTCTGCTGTTAGAATATACATATACATGAGATCTGCAGACCAGCAAGACCAGCAAGCTACCCCAGTGTCAGCAGATAATACGTGAACGTCTCTCATTCCAGAGCAAGTCCACAGCCTCTGGAGCAACTTTAAAGCATGATTTACACCATAAGAGAAAATATTTTGGATAAAGGGGAATAATGTTATATATGTGAAGAAAAAACACTAACTTTTCAGTGATGAATTTCGCTATGTGCAGATGCAGGTACATAAACAATGCTTTGGATGCAAATCTTGCTGTTCTGCTGGGGATAAACTCACCTACCCTATATTTTAGCTTTTACACTAGGCTTAGCTCATAAAGGACAATAGTGGAGACATCCCTCTAGATAAAAACTCAACCCTCAGACACAGACAGCCAGAATGAACCCACACACACACTTACAAAGGCGCGTTTAATGGGGATCTGTAATGTGAGGTCTCTAGAAATCCCGGGGGTCCGCCCACGGGGGCTGGTAATGACACTCCACCTCGCTGATTATCAGAACGAATGGCCACTCTACTCTTAAACGGCCTGTACTATGAAGAGGGCCCTCTGGTGAAAGACAGGTATGAGGTGAGCGAATGATTCACCGGCGGCAGACAGTTGGAAAGTTCCCATCGAACTTTGGGAGATAAAAATCGATACAAGGTGCACCGAAGGGCGCAGGGGTACTGCTGAGTACCAGGATGGATGTTTCTGTCACATAACGGCCCACAGAAGATTATGTCTTGGTTTTAAAACACACACAGCGTGGGGTCATTAGTGCATTATAGAAGTGGAAGAGTATGGGGTCTTTGAACAGGAAGTGGTACTTTAGAGAACAAAGAGCTTCGATGAGTATAAGCGATTTCAGAATCATCTTTGATGCTTGGGGCTGCATTGTGAGCTGAAGGAGCAGTGGGAGAAGGTTAAATGGCTGCTAATACCCACTGAGGTGAACCATATTTCACTGAAGGCCACTGCTGTCGATTGTGTTTTCTTCAGTATTTTGGCTCTGGTTCAAAAAAAATAAAATAAAATAAGGTACGGTAAAACTATACTTAAACCTGTCAGACACCTTCATACGGCATTATTATGGTCAGTATGAGAATTAATAAAGCATTACAGCATTTTCTATTGCCAGTCATAATGTATTATAGTATACATAATGCATTATAGTTCGACATAAGCTACAATAAAGCTACATAGTACTACATAAGCTACAATGAAGCTCTCATCTATAATGCACTATAGATACCTTCAAAATGCATTATACTGGTCAGTATAAGAATTAATAAAGTGTTACAGCACCTCCTATTGACAGTCATAAAGCATTATAGCGTAGTATAATACTTAATGAGCTTCAATGAAACTCTCATCTATAATGAGCTACAGATACCCTTATATTACATTATGATGGCCAGTACCTGGTCAGAATTAAGGATGCTTTGTACCATTATGAAGGTATCTAAAGTGCATTATAGAAGAGAGTTTCACAGAGCATTCATACTGCATAATAAGCATGGTTATAATGTGTTATGCCTTTTCATAAATATTTATATCCATGTTTGTAATGCTTTATAAATGCATTATAATGTGTTATGAATGTGTTCATAGATTCTTATAGACACAGCATTCATAGAAAGTGTCAACAAAATCACTAACAGTCACGAGACCTCTTCCTGGAGACAAACCACAACAGCCTAATCGGATGTGAAATCCGTGCCGGAAATCAGACTCCCCGCCTTCACAGTCAGAGCTACACATCTGAATTGTGCGCAAACAACAACCGTGCACAGATTGCACGAGAGCGTGAATAAACCAATGATTCCAAATCCTCCCGTGCCGAGAGACTGTGGCTTAGAAACCCTTGGAACCAACATAAACTGTAACCCTTCCATCTACTGTAAGTTACTTGGGATAAAAATTTCAGTTAAACGAATAAAAGGAAATAAAGGTGAAATGTAGTTGCCTTTGCTTCATAGCCTTCAGGAGTATTTTTACAGATATGTGCTGCAGATTCCAACACACAATCCGGAGAGACAGACCACTTGATTTGTGGTCAGAAATATTAACTATGTGAACATGATAAATCAGGAAAACTGTGCTACTGAATCCATCACATTTTCCAAGGATGCCTGATTTAGGTTCGAAATATCAAGGTGTGCTCAGGCACCGCCGATGAGTGTCTCAACCTAGTCGACGTGGCAGGAATAATATTTTTACTGCAATCCTCCCAAATGCCTTAATGGGTTTAAAGGAATTAAAAAGGTATTATATTGGTTTGAAAGGCAAATTAGAACGTGGGCGGTGTTCCTTCAAAAATATTCTGCCGACTTTCTAAATTGCATTTAGCCGGTGGAAAATAATAATAATAATAATTAAGGATTTCTCATAATACTTCTGGATTTACGAGAAGCAATTTGGTAGGAATATTATCAGCATGGAACTGGGCTGCAGCTGTAAAACAGGGGCACTTGTGCAGATAAATCCCCTAACCTGCACAGATCTTTGCCGATTTCCCGCGGCCGGTATCAGACGTGACAGATACGGCAGGGAGTTTCATTCAGGTGACAGTTTAGCAGCCTAGCGTGTCTAAAGAGAACAGCGGTGAGAACGAATCCGACGGCTGTGCGTGGTGACGTGCTCACACTCTCACAATGGTAGAGGGATCCTTTAAAACACTGTACAAACCCGCCGAATAAATCCCCACTAGACTATTACAGCAAAAACAACATTGTTTCAAACTCCCAAAAGCCACCGAGAGAATTAATGCAGAAGTTCCCCACACCCACATCAGGACCGCATGAATAATTAAAGACAGCTTTTAATATTTTAGACTGTCTTCCCTCCGAGAGACAATGTTGTGTTTTTCTTTTTTCTTTTTTGTTCCCCGGTGGAGAGGAGTAACCCTCAACTGTCCAGATCAGCATGAGAGGGATTTGGTGGTCAGCGGCCCACGGTCCGGCATACGGCGGAACAGCTGTGACGCTACACTGGTAGGGCGTTTACCTGGTACATGTAGGATGTGTTGGACCCCAGGTACTTGGCTCCATAGAAGAGTCCGTCTGGCCATTTGACCTGCACCGTCTCTCCCACCTCTGGAGGACCGAGCTGGACGCAGTCCCGGCTCTGGGGGCGCAGAGAGAGCGAGAAAGGTCACGCGCCAAACTGAGATCGGCTTAAGGAGACGCCGGAATTAATCCTGCGACTGCTGAGCAGCAGAAACGCGGCGCGTCCCATGATCCCCGCGGATCCGAGCCGCACAGATGCACGGGAGCAGACGGGACCCCGTGTGTCTCTATGCTCCGAGTCCCCATCGCACCGATCAGCCTTCAAAGGGGAGGAGGATATGTCCGGAATTTTCCAGGATTAAGGGATGGTTGGTCCCGGCTTGGTTCTGAGTCAGTGATCGCTACCTCGGCATCACCAGACCACCTGGAAATTCGCCCTGTTTTCCCTTCGAAGACCGTTACTCCGTCCGCAAAGCGTGCTTGTGCAGTCAGAGTTGCCGCAGGAAGCAATTCTCGCATCCCAAACGTTCTCCCGCCAGTCAAGCTAGGATTAAGGCTGGCTAATTGTGCTACTATTTTCTAAGGATTTTGCTGTTTGCTGGTGCTGATTTAAGCATTAGAGCAAATTAACTCCTAGTAATTACACTACATACAGGACGTGTGGTCTTCTGTTAACATGAGACATAAAAACAGTACTGGGATTAGGTAAGACAGAAGCTTAATGAATTCGGTTTCATTAATACCAGATTTTCATTTTCTTGGTGCCATTATGTCCAAAGAAGAAAGTCTTTGGAAAAATAATAATAATTAAAAAAATAAAAAAAAAAAACCTCCGGCCCAACTGGGATTTGGGAATCCAGCTTAATTGTCCGGAGCAATTACCAGCCCACAACTTTTTCCATTACATAGAAAAAGATTTAATTGGCCAGATTGTGAAAGTAATGTCAGACTCAACACAGAAATGTTCAGTTTAAAGAGGATATGCTCTACAGCAACATTTAAACTCACTTTCCCAACAGCAAAATGTGTAACAGCTCCAGTGAGGGTCATGGTTTATTGATATCAGCACAAAGTAACATTGGGTTCCCTGTCTTTCCGAACAGCACAGGGGCAAATGAATAATCGAGTTGTGTAAGAATTTGACCTAGAACAGGAGCTATACATTATTACAGAGGCACGCCGCATCAAACTATCAGATATGTCATCCTTTAACCCAGTTAAGGAGCTTTACAGCTAATCATTCATATAAGCAAATGGCTAATAATGAGTATTTATAAAGCAACCAATTCTGGGACAGAATGGTACAGTTTTCAAGATTAGACACGAATGTTGGCAAAACAGCTAGAATCTTTAATTGCACTAAAGAGGTTAGGGCTCAAAGCCAGCTCCCACCCAGAAGACCACCCAAGATGCACCATGGGATCTCCTACCATATTTACGAGGACGTCCAGCCTCCGATTGTACAGGCTGACTGATGGGTGTCTTTAGGTTGCTTTAATTAATAAATAAATAAAAATCCCAGTAGGAGATCAGGGCACTTAATTGCATGTATATAATTAGAACTAAATGCAGAAGTCATTTTGCTTTTTGCGTATCATTAGGTAACCCTGCGAATAGGACAATTAATCCTTAATTACTAAGAAGGATTCCACAACACTGGAGCCGAACTTTCACTTCACTTCTGCGATGAAAATATGTCACCACATTTAGCATTTTGTATCCTGACGTTTTATTTCTGTAGAATTCTGTAGAATGTAGAATTTTAAACTGCACACATACTAGAAAAGCATACTCCATTGCAAATTGAAAGTGAAGAAACACAGCAATTCTACTCCCTTTCCCTTGCTGGATGCCTTATATCCAATATTACATACAATATTTATCCAGTTGGAAATTTCTGTGGGGAAATGCAGGTTAAGTATCTTGCTCAAAGATATAACAAGCAGGATGCCTTTTGTGGTTTGAACATAAAATGGACTGTGGCCTCTACTCTTGTGCTAACTGTGGCCTGAAAATTATTTCAGCCATGCTAATCCCAGAGTTTATAAACACTGGAAGGCGATGTGATGGCCAGTGAACAGCCAGAGGGTCAGGAACGTAGACATCTTTCTAAATATGGTTCTCTGACACACAATTTGACACACAGACAGCACTGCGATATTCACCTGTGCATAAAAAAAGGACAAAAACAGCATAACAATGGCCTCCTCTTATCTAGATGTCATCAAAGTGTTGTGTTTTCAAACACGGCTGTAAGACCTTCAGTTAAAACCATCTGTATAAAACTGTCCTCAAATTCCCATCCATCGGCTCTGAGAAGCATCTGGGAGTTAAATGCCGATATTTTGGTGTTGAACGGAAATCCCTAAATGAGCTGCCTCCATAGCATATGGCTGAGCTTTTCTCTCTCCTGTTTCCAATAATCTGTTCTCTGCAGACATCCAAACTTCTGCAGCAGGTCATCTTGTATCTCTCAGCTAAGACCACAGCCCGATGCACATTAAAGCTTTTAGAGCAGTGTTTCCCAATTCGGTCCATGGGGACCCACAGTTGTTCCACGTTTTTGCTCCCTTGAAACTCCCTGCCAGACAGTCCACATTTTTGCTCCCTACTGGGAGCTCAGAGGGAGCAAAAACATTCACTGTGAGTCCCTCCTGAGGAAGCGATTGGTTAACACTGCTTTAGAGCTCAGCAGCAAAATGCTACCACACGATGTCATGCATTTTCATATCTACCACAGGTTAAAAACAGAGATGAGCCCCTGTGTGTGTAATTCAAGTAATAATGAGCAAATGGATAAGGCGACCCCTACTGTCAACCCTCACAGCTGCCAAAAACACACCAAACCATAAAAGGAAGTACAGATGTAATCCAAAGCCTGCAATATTTCCATTGGCGACAGATCAGAGAGAATCATTGATTACACAAGCTTCTGTTTTCTCACCAAAACGACAGGGTTAACCCGAATCCTACCATCATATCAAAACCAATTTGTCTAGGATAAAAAGCACAAACAAATAAAGGAAATAAAACAATGGCCTTTTTAGAGGTCGAGTACTTCCCTGGAGACGAATTCCCAGCCAGAGCTCTGTCAGATCTACAAGTTTGATTTCCCTGAATTATTGCGAGAAACTGCACAGAATCATACATCTCAGTAATTAAACCATAAGCAGCAGTGCTGTCATTTATATCATTAGGGGAGGGACGCACTGACAGGGATACTGTCATTTTATAACGCTCATCTTGATTAGCAGTCTGGCTAACCAAGGGTGAAGGTGATCACGATATGTGGTGCGTGTGGGAGGGATGAGAAAGCATCTGCCGGCTTTTGCCAACACTGCATTTCCCGTGGAGTTGGTGATGTGATGGACATTTTAAAAGGGTTATATGCTCTTCAAATGGCAGCTGGCTTCAAAAAAAAAAAAACCACTTTGGCTAAAACATCCGAGCCTCAATCACTACAGCAACAAGAAGGGGTACTACAGCATCCAAACAAGGACGGCATGTTGTCGTCAATCAGAGGCTATTCCTACCGGCTGCATCCTAGTCTGTATGATAGAGCTGCGGGTTTTTATTTGTTTGTTTGCCAGGTTTTCACGTTTATTTGTTTGTTTTTGTTTTGTTTATCAGGTGTGGAGAAACCGCGCAGCGTGGACAAGGTCGCAGCCTGGCGATTACTTTAAACAGAACATCGACTCGTGAAGCCCAGTACCAACAGAATCACTGGAACGTAGAAAATGGTAGACATCTTGTACTGACCGTATCATGATTAGCCGTAATTCAAGTTAACAGCGTGTCAGAAGACCACAGATCAAGCATCCAGTGTATAAATATCAAAATAACATCACTCGTTTTGCTTTTCATTTATGCCAGTAACAATGATACACTTTGAGAAGAATCTTAACATCTTCAACCACAAATGACAGGGAATCTGTAGGGGTTCCCATGGAGACTCTATACTATCATTTCAAATAAACCTATAAACCTTAGAGCTTCAGAAATACTATGAACAATGAAAGTAATACAATCTATTTGTTGTATAGTAAAAAAGGGCACAAAATTTATTTTTAGCTACTATTTCATGTGTAGCTCCTGATATAATATCTGACTTAGTGGCTGCAGTGTTTTCTACGGCAAACATCTGGGTTTGCGCCTGGATTTAGATCTGTATTAGCTTTGTGGGGACCTACTAAGGCACAACCCAGGGCTTCAGTGAATGCATCTATTCTACAAACACTTTCCTTTCACCAACACTATGGGCATTTCCCAGCCCTTCAGAGAGAAGTCCGAAGCATGCACAGCAGCAAAGAAAAATAACAGCACTGCCAGGCGCTTTCTGCTGCAGCCAAGATCGCGAGTAGGAGCGGCACTTGAGCGCGACACGTACGAAACGCCGGGCAGCACCGCAGAACCCCCACTGGACCTTGGCCTGTCAATGAGCGACGTTACCTTTCGGCGTGCCATTCTGCCTAATTTATCACCAATTCTGCTTGCAGTACCGACCTCACCGGATCTATTTTCTGGCTAACAGCTTTTGTGAAAAGGCAGTGCTGTACAGTGCAGTGTTGTACTAAAGTGCAGTTCCTTGCACTACAGTACAGATAAGAACATTGCAAAGGTTCTGATGGGCTGGTTTCTTGGGTCCAGCAGGGATATTCGTAAGTAAGCCGGGGTCACTGACCTGAGCCCAGCGCCAGCTGTCAGACCCATGCCTGCAGACTGTTTTTTGTCCAGTGCTCTTCTCTGCCACGGTGCATAAACGGGACGGCCGTCACAGCCCGGGCAGGAAGGACATGCGGTTCAAAGCAAGATCTTGACTACAGAGTGGATTCACTGACTCGCGCACGGTGGCAAAGATATTGATGCTCCCTGCTGGGTACAGTGGCTGGGTTTTCCGAATGCTGCTAATTTGAAGGCATTCCACTGTTTGCGCCATTCGAATTTCATGGGGTGTAATGTGCTTGGGAAAAAAAAACATTCCTTAAAAGGCCATTACTGTCTGTAACATCTAGATGTCTATAAAAGTCAATACTTAGCAAACTTACCACAATGTCCTCAGGGAAGGTGTCATTGCTGAAGGAGCCGTCATCAAACATGACTTCGTAGAACGTCTGTGAGGTGACCTCTGTGACCCTGGATGTGTAGTACCTCAAGTTTTTGTGCTTGCTGATAACCGTCTGCCCCAACACGATGTCCTTCTTACATGCTTTGCTCCTCTGCCAAAAAAGCATCATTTATGATGAGAAATGCAACACGAACCCAGCATACAAACTGAAACCTTTACGTCAAGGCACTTTGCACTTATATAAGCAGGAAAAGTACACATTAGAGCTGCCACAATATGCTGTAACATACAGAAACGTAAGACTTCGATAGTGTCGACTTTTAATTACTCATTGTATCAATAACAGATGCTGCCTAGTAAATGACATTAATTATAATCAATGAAACCTTATTAAGAAAATAAACAGAATAAACATCAGCAATTATAATCATCTAAATTAGTCACATACAGCTGTAAAACTGAGCAGCAACAGCTGAACCGTCTGCAGAGAAATAGAATTGTCACGCTAATCAAATTTCCGACGGCACAAGTCACAAGCTTGTCAAAATTGAAATTATGATTTTTTTTTTTTTGAAAATTTGATATTATGGTAGTACATGGACCTCAATTAGTATGAAGAATTAGACAGTAAAATGGATCGGACTTAGCGGGACATCTTTCAGACCGAACGGAAGGGCCTCCGAAAGCTAAAGTCCACAAGTAATGATACTGTTTTTAAAATGCTAATTTAAAGCCTTTATCATCTGTTTAAATAGCAGCCCGAGGGAGTTGGAACACTCACAGCCAAGGAGCTGCGAACTTGGTGCCGGTGACAGGTGATGAACACCACGTACGGCCAGTCGTCGGGCTCCATGGTGACACCGGCGGCATGCGCACACGTCACATGGAAGGAGGTCGGGCAGCGGCCGCACGAACACTGGATGCAGGCGCCCGACACCTTCTTGACCCGCTTGCGGCAGTAGACACACTTCTGTGGAGAGAGGGGACACCAGATTCCAGATTGGTCGCTGGTTGCCGTGGAACAGGATGGCGACAGTAGAGGGTGTGTGTGGGGGAGGGGGGGGCGGGGTGACTCATCATAATTCCAGCTAGGAATTCATTATCTTTTATATGAAAACATCTTATTGTAACTAATCGATGCTGGCAAGTTTAAAAGAGTAGCCGTTCAACATAATTTCTTCTCAGGAGGATGAAATCATTACACCATCAAAACCTTTGTGCTAAATTAAATGAGGAATCCCTCTATTATTCCTGATGAATTCATCCAGTGCAGCTTCTCTCAGAAGACACAGAGTTAATTGCGCAGCAGATTAGGGGGTTTAATTAATCCACTAAAGCGTGCCACTGCATGAGAAATCAAGGAGGCTTCGCGGACGACGTCCTGACGGGATGCGACGGTGCTGCTCTGTATGGCCCGACAAACGAGCGTTAACGACCGCGGTGCATTAAACCAAACAGCACCAAAGAAAGTCTGAACAAGCTAAACAATTTAGGGGGGTAGGGAAGGGTAGAAGTACCAAGATTACAGTGAAGTCATCCTCTTATCTACTACAAAAAAAAACGTAAATACGATCCTCTAACTCACCAACATGATTTCTATACATAGAGTATAAGAACTATAAAGAGCAATTCTGCTAATGCTTTAAACGTCAGTCCTAGGCAGCAGCAGAGGGTGTTGACACCCAGCCTTTGGAAAACGAAGACGCGTCTGCCTCGGACAGGCTCTAACATCCTGTAGTCATCGCTCCGTCACTGATGACAAGGACGGCGGCGGGGAAATGGGGGCGCGAGGCTTTCGAGACCGGAACTAATTGGGATATTTAGCCGGGGGGAGACAGATGGAGCTGGGGAAGAGGCGTGCCCCAATCAGATTATACGTCTCACTGACATTCGCGGAGACTAAAATGTGGCCCCCCTTCCAGAGTGGCAGTGTACATAATAATCAATTCCTTCGCTCAGTGAAATCTTGAGAGGTACCCATTTACCACCTACTGCCTCAAAATAGCTCACTTCACACCCTTCCTCACTCACCAGAGCAGAGAAATGGCCGGCGGATGCCAGACGGCATGTTAAACACTAAATGTGTCCCTTTTAATAAATCGTCTTTAGATAATTTATGTTACTCTCGTTGAGACATATGTTACAATAAATTATTAATGATGTGTATATACACCGCGTGAACATCTCCCTAAAAATGTAAAATACTCTACACTCTCTTGCAGGCTTCGATTGGGCATTTAAAAACGTCCTGTGGTTTCCAACACCGTTGCTATGCTCTCGCCACGAGACAAGATAAGACAAGATGTCGAAGTGAAGAGCAATTTAAACATTTCCCTGACAGCCCATCTTGGACGAGAACACAAAGGACCAACATGGTAATGAGTCCTGCAGGACATACTCTGTGACAGCAGTGTATCAAAACGGATTCTGGTCAAAATACGGAGACACTGTTAGCTGATTATACGTTGAGTCCTATATCTCAGGCAGGGCTGGAGTCCGGTACATGAGGCACCAGAAGTATCCGGGAGCTCTACGGAGATGCGACATAATTGGCAGCTTTCTCTGTTGAGGGGGTGGAAAGTCAGTTGGTGCAATAACTCAAGGTTTCTCAGTCAGCTGCTGCATTAGCGACTCCTATAGGCCCAGCATGCACTGCCATGTTAGCGTTTACCCTTGGAGACAGAGATGTTGCATGTTATGAAATGTGAGGAACAAAGGCTCAGACTTCGGACCATAGTCACAAGCACTCCTGGATAAATCACTAAGTTTATATACTATACTGAAAATAAACCATTATACACTGCGCCCTGGATCCAGCCACTATATTAAACATTTACATTTAGCTAGGGATGCAAACAGTAACTGCGTGATCGCTAATACCTATAAGCGCGGCTATTCCTTCAGTGCTAATAAATGGTGCAGCGCGGGGGGAAGCTAATTAATTCTTTTCTTAGGTTTCACAGCTGTGATTTAAAAGGAGATCTAGAGGAAAAAAAATAAAAGAATCACGCGTGAGACAGGAAGTCATTATGAAGACATTAAGCAGAAGCGGAGCGGCTTCAGAGAGGCGAATCCGAAACGCAGAGGGAAGGAGGCCGGGCAGATGGATCTTCGGGGGTGGAGTCAAACTGCAGATTGACCGCACGTCTTTATCGATCTGAGAGGCACAAACAAACATGCCACGTTTAACCCAAGTTTTGCCCATGAGACAGGCTCTCCTCACGGATTTTCACACACCATTCCACCTCACACTTGTCTGGTTGGCCGGCTGCTTCCCCTTGAACTATCACGCCCCACTGCGGCCGTACACAATATAGTACCAGTCAAAAGTCTGGATACACCTATTGAAAATCACTTGTTTTTCAACAACCCTGAGTACAGCTCGAGGTTATGTAGGAAGTATTGTCTTGTGAAGAAGGAAAGACATGGAGTGCTGTGTCAGATGACCTGGCCCCTACAATCCCCAGACCTAAACCCCATACAGCTGGGTTGGGATGAGTTGGATCGAAGAGTAAGAGCAAGGTAGCCAACTTCTGCCCAGAACTTGTGGAAGCTCCTTCAGGACTGTTCAGCCACATTCCAGGTGGCTACATCTGCAAGCTGACAGAATGAATGCCAAGAGTCTGCAATGTTGTCCTCGACGCAAAAGGGGACCACGTTGAAGAGTCTAAAATTTGAGAAATTTCAGATGCTGAGCACTCCTTTTGGTCTTTGCATTATTTCATATGTATTACTTCAATGCCTTAAGGCCTTTTGCGCACCAGCATAGAAAACCACACTGTCTTAGGCCCCCGATGTCGATAAAAGGCCAGATCAATACCCCAGGGATAAGAACAAATAAAGACAGGAGTTTGTTTTGGCCAGGGGAAGATGACACTATTTACATCTAGTGCTTTTACATTTACTGCAGGAGCAGACCACCTGGGGAGGTCTTCTCCCTGGTGGCAGGTTTGCTGTCCCCTCGGTATCTGTTCAGGTCAGCGGTGGCACTGCAGACTGTGTTTCTGAAGGAGGATAAATGACATCACGCTACCTGCTCTCAGCTCCCCTCGAGGATGAAGCTGTGTCCCAAATTACTGCCGGCAGGCATGAAGTGAAACATTGTACCTGAAGACATCCGGAACACTGACACAGTTTAATGAGTACTTATTATGGTGATCCAGCTACAGTCAGATACATATTAATGCACTGTGTCCTGTGATGGGAAATGCAGATATAGCTAGTCGATCAGGCAAGAGAAAATGAGCCCCGAGTTTGGATCCTTCCTGAAGTGCTGGTTTGGGGGTTTTCAAGGAGACTGCTGCTGTAAAACCTGCTACCACACGATGGCTTCCTTTAGTGACGAGATAATCCCAGATATTTCCTTTCTATATGACTAAAACTCATCAAATTATGGAAAGTTACTGGTAGCTACTACTACAGTTTCTACTCTGGGGTCAAAAATTGAGAAAAAAAAAACTAATCAACAAAGGTTAACCATGAATCCTAGGGGGGTGGCATGGTGGTGTAGTTGTTAGTTAGCCCTGTTGCCTCACACCTCTGGCGGTTGGAGTCTCTGCCCCGGCGCCACGTGTGGAGTTTGCACCGACTTCCAGCGAGCGCTGGCCCCCGAGAGGCAGGGAGATGGACCCTTCCTGCTTACCGCGTGATAGGAGAGCACAGGGCACGTGTGGCACCAAATGCACGCCAGCTGCATTAGTGGATGAAAAGTGAACCTCTTAAAAACGTATTACACTGGCGAGTCGCATCTGCGGGACACGCACGAGGCATCCACTGCACTCCCAATTAAGGAGAATGCTGATTACCTGGAAACTACACACGCACACGTACGCACATACACTCACATGGCCAGCGGCCGCGGGAAAATGAACACATGCACCTTCTGCATACAGCTGCCATCCAAATTGCAGGTGGCCGATCTGTAGGCATGGCTCAACATGGTGACAGGCTATTATGGGGTGGCTGAGGTAGGGCCCCCCTCAGTAACAGAGAGAGAGAGGCAGGGGGACCTGGGTGGGGGTTCAGAGAGGTTTTGCCGTCTCCCCCACATTCCTGTCACCCAGCTGAATCACAGGTGCCTTTTGTTGTGCGGGACATGGTGGGGGGGGCAGAGGCCATGCTACAAAGGGGAGGGTGGGGCATCTCATTATTTGAAATAATACAGAAATGAAGTCAGCCCCAGCTTGAAAATGGCGGGGGGGGGGGGGGGGGGGGGCCCCGGGGGGGGGGGGGGGGGGGG